TTTGAATGTTTGGTTTATTAGAAAGAAATGAATTTTACAGTTCCGCATTAAAATACATGAAAATTATTTTGGTAACACCTCAAGATATATGAAATTTTGGGGCGTTACATCTTGTCCCTGAATGACAACCTTCCCAAAAGAGCCATTCCACCTCGTATAATGAACTGTGTGTATCTTCTTGTCATAACCTCAACTTGTGATAGAATAACTGGAAAAACACAGAAAGGTTTTGGGCTTTTGTCAAATCTTACACGTTCATCTCTAGCTGAAAATAACATGCCTCAGAACATTCCTGATGACCTCTTTCAATTGATCAAAGCTTCAAGTACTACATCTAAGAAAGAAAAACTCAGGTTGTACTCTCGGACAAACACTGTCGGGCTTTTGTGAGGCTGTGAGAAATCAGTAATATGAGTGGATTGTCGGATTGGTTGATTCGCAGAAATAGATTACACACCTCTAAGGTTGTTCTCAGCATGATAATCAGCTGGCAAGAGCATTTCCAGGAAAAAAAAAAAAAATTATGCGCTCAAACAACTGCTTGATCTTTGGTTGCAGCACGATTCAAGATGCTACTTTGAACTCGATTCACTTTCTGACTTGGACCTCGATCAGAACATGCTTAAAGAGACAATCCCAAAAATTAGCGTGTGTACCGACTCACACTTAGATCTTTCACACAACTATCTCCTTGGATCTATTCCAGGGTCAGTGAATGCGAGTGTGAAGCCTGAAGAACCTCAATCTTATCTTAGGTAAAATTTCTCATATGCAACTACTTCTTTTTCATTTTTTCCACTCGGAGAAGACAGAATGCCAATCAGGCAATCATTTTGTGTCGACTAGTGAAGAAAGGTTCGAGAACCGACTTTAATTCCTTATTTAGCGTATATACCTCAACGAAACAAGATGCACTCATAAGGCTTCTCCATTTCTGCACTTTGGGAGAAACTAGAAATGATTAACTATCAGGGCTTCTCCGTTTCTTGATCAACTATACACGTTCTCCATTTTGGGAGAAACTAGTTTCTAGATAATTTAATTAAAGAATTTAAGATTCTTAAGAGGCCTCTGATTACAAATAGGAATTCATTTTGGATAATGCCATTTGGCAGGGTGTAAAACAAGCAACCATGGTCTTGAGGGAAATCGTATTATTCTACACTAAAAGGCTGTTGAGCTCAGATACCAAATTGTTGATTTTAAACCGAAAATAATTTTATTGATATAAATCACTTTTACAGTTTTGAAAACACACCCCACTAGCACTACACCTCTCTAATTCATTTTATATTGATAGCACTATCTCTAATTCTCTCCACTACACTATTTCTCTCACTA